GCTGCATGCTGTCGGAGGCGCAAGCCTTGCAAGGGATGGGTTGTGTGGGTAGAGCGAGCTGGTTGCCAATTGATGAGGACGTGGGGCGGAGCTAGACACCTCAAAGGGATCAAGGAGAGAGAATTCCCGCATGGAGGAGAGAGCAATTTCTGCAAGAAGGTAGAGAGGATATTTTAAGGGAGGAGGGAGAGAGCAATTTCCGTAGGAAGGAAAGGGGAGATTTTTGGGGAGGGAGAAGAGAGCAATACCTGCAAGAAAAAAAAGGAAGATTTCGAAGAGAGAGAGGAGATTCTCGCAGGAAAGAAAGAGATTTCCGTAGGAAGGAGGTAGATTTTGGAAGGAAGAGAGAAGGAATTTCGCAAGTGAGGGGAGGAGATTTTGGTAAGAACTGAGTTAGCATTATGGAGAAAATAAAACGACATTTTGATAAGAACTAAGAGAGCAATTTTAGAGAGAAGAAGTGAAATTTCATGAGGAATTTTGTTAGCAATTTCAAAGAAAAAGAAGTGACATTTCGGAAAGAATTGAGGTTTTAGGACAAAACTAGAGTAGAGAATGTAATGGTTTTCAAGTGTAAGGTTTAAGCTATCACTCAGACTACAACGCCTATGAGGGGGAAGAATTAAGCTGACACTTCATTTTCTCTTGTGTATGGAATCAAGTCATCTCTTCCCATCAAGTTCTTAGTGAAGAATCTAAAGGTTGCAATAGATTCTTGCCTCACCAACCGTCAATCATTGAAAAGTATGCTAACGGATTTAGAGGAGTTGGACGAGAGATAACGTATGATTGATCAACACATTGAAGCCATTCAAATACAAAGAAATATCACCTTTAACAAACGTCACAAGAAGAGGGCGTTAGAGCCGGGTATGATGTTTATGATCAAGATGCAAGGAAACTCAAATTCATGAGTAAGTTTGATGCAATTTGGATGGAGCTTTACCTTGTGAAGGAAACATTTTCTAACAACTCGCTGCAATTGGAATCACTTAATTGTGAGAGTTTTTCCACACGCACATCTGGAAGCAAGTGCAAGCATAACAAGGCGTAAAAGACAACTAGCCTTTGGGTCTACAGATTGTGGATTCTTTCTTGATGATCGCCAATTATGTGAGTACAAAATGATGCTCACATGTTTTTTTAATATGATAAAAGTTTAAATTTAAATTTTTTAAGAGTTATGCTTTTTAATTTTGATGGTGGTATTTGCGAACGTATACATTTGAGCAACGGTTGGGAAGCGGAAGTAGCGGCGATAGGGCTATTAGACTACGCTAGCCGCTCCGGTACATATGTTTGTTTGCAGCTGAGTGCGGCAACCAATACCAAGTGTTGTTTGCAGTGTGTGAGCCTTAACGCTGCACCCTTTAGCACTTTTAGTTCGGTGGAGGTCTCAGCTCCCATTACTATTTTTCTTTCTAATATCACTTGTTTACCACAACTCTATGCATTTGAATAATCAGCACCTTTAAATTCTACTTGTTCCTCATCGACAAACACTAAGGTCAAACACTTTTCCTAGACGATCCTCCCAGCAACTTCTCATGTCAGGTCTTCCTCTCTTTAAACATTTTTCACAGCTGCCTCTGAGGTCGAGGCGTTGAAGCGGCCAGCACACCGTCCTCACCCACATACAACCAGGTGCTGCCACGCCCGAGCCCCTCCCAAGTGTGCCGCCGCAACTGAATCACTCCCACGTCGCACCAACATTCACAATCATGCTAGAGTGTTAATCGCTCAAATTCTCCTCTACTGCACAAATTTCATCATTCCCACCTTTCCACTATTCACTCCAAGGTGTGGGTGCCCTCGCCTTCGTCTATGTTCACATAAAACCATTTTTAATCCCTCATCCATCCAAGCATCATCCACTTTGGCAAACCCAAATTCCACTTCAGCAACCCCAAACTCTCTACCAAATAAACATTTAAACTACGACTCTTTATTTCATTTTATTTTTTAACACTACTTCTCTCTCTACTACTAACATTAAATACTTTTTATCATAACCCATCTTGTGAGTCGAGCTTTTAAACTCACACTACAAAGAGGTGGAACTAAGGCTGTGGCTGAAGACGATCGCATACCATTAGAGATGCAGACCTATCGAAGAGTATGGTGGATTTCAGAGATGTTTACCATTTATCTTTTGTCAACATTTTATTTGAGATGCGGGGCTGATATGGTCACGGAAAGGCTTTGGGATTGCATGAGCGGTCAGCACTGAACTGAGTGTAAATAGTACAAGCGTAGAAAGAGGAAAGGAAGTGATAAAATTCTTCCGACAGTACAGGAAGTGACAAAAATTTTGAAGGAGTAGGGACAAAAACCGTCGGGAAGAGAAAGTGACAAACATTTCAAAGGGGTAGAAACATAAATTTTTGGAAGAATTAGTGAGGTATTTTCGGAGTTGGACAAAAATTCCAAGAGGAGAGGAAGAAATCATTTCGGAAAGTGGTGATAAAAATCCCGAGAGTGAAGGAAGTGAGCATTTCAAAAACTTGAAACAGAAATCTTGAGAGGGGAGCAAGAGAGCATTGTTGGAGGTGGTGATCAAAATACTTGGAGAAAGTGAAGGTATCTTTGGAATGGTGATGATTTGAAACTTTTGAAGTGTTTATTGTTAGTCTTATGACGACTTAGACCTCCAAAAGACTAGAACGCACAAGGATAGAGAGTTAAGTCTGACATCAATCCCCTAGACTATTATGTTTATTGAGAAGAAGTACAAAGACATTACAAGTTTACTATTGACAACACATGAAGACATTGTCGACTTTTGGCTTTCAATTCTACTCAAACTAAACTTGATACACCATCAAACGCGTTATTGTAATACTCTAAAAAGAAGTCAAGACTCCTATAAGTAATAACAAGATCTAGGCGTTGCAGTCTTGCAAGTGCATGATCTTCTCAATTGTACCTTCCATCTTTAACCTAGGATAAGAAACAACCTTGATAGTTCTTTCACTCCCTTCAAACTCTTCTTGAAAAATGTATCTGCGCTTTACCATGATTCAGTTTCAAACTGCTTTTCGAAAGTGTCGCGGTTGTTAAGTGTATATTATATAATAACCTCTTCAAACTGCTATTCAAATTTGTCTTCACAACCAATAATCCCCCAACATTTAAATAGATGATAAGAAACAAGGTAAAACAAAAAAAAGTGAACTGAGTTTAAGTTTATTCATGTCAAGGTTTCATGACAATTTTTTTACCTCATTTACTCTTTTGAATTGCATTTAGTCACAACAATCATTTATATGTATTCACAAAAACATTTCAGATTCATGATTGAAATACTTTTGGGAGACTATTTTAATGAAATAGTTGCTCTCCTAACTATAGTCATTAAATCTCAAATTACAAGAACTTGTATTGAAATATGAATAATGGTGGGATGCCGTGATAGATCCATTTAAGTATAATAATCATATTTAATTTCAACAATTGTTTTGCTTTTCATAGTCATTTTATTAAGTAATTTTTACTCTTGATTGTTATTTAATGTAGACTTTGATCATTTAGTTTTTTAATTTGAAATTTCATTATTATTTTGTAAATATTTTTTAAATATGATCAATCTAAATCATTCATAATAATATCAAAAATTAAATTGTGCATGTTAATGTAAATTGTTTTTTAAGCTTAATCATCAAACATTATGTATGATATCATGTAAAAGTATTTCAATACCGTTCATTATTGTTATAAATTAAATTGAAATTTTAACCTAACAAAAATTCTTGAACAAATAAAGAAATATTACAATAGTTTTTAGATTAAAATTAATTTCAATATAAATAAAATTTGTAAATTTAGAATTATTATTTTTGAACCATGATTACTACAATGTGTTGAAGGAACATAGATTATAAATTGTTTGATTGATGCATTATTAAGATGTTTGTGATATTTAATATTATTTTTAATATTAATTAAAACATACATCAATCATTAAAAATTTCATCATTTTACTGCTTGACACTAGTACTTGTCTTTCGTTTGGTCAAAAAGTATTAAAAAATATCCATTATAATATAAAAAAATAAGATAGACTAGATTTACTACATATTTTTTGTTGAATAAATTTTTTTTGAAAAAACTTGAAATAACTTCACAAGCAAAAAATGGAAGAGAAATATTATTTACAAGTATCTGCATAATAAAGTTTATATGATAAAAAGATCAATGTATTCAAAGATGTCTAAACTTGTCTAACAAAAGTCATGAGCCGAGGAGCTAGTATGGAAGGTGAATTTCAAAATATTTGTAACAAATCATCAATATCAATGAAAATAATAGAAAAAGCAGTATTACATAAGTAAGTACTTAGAATATTTTGAGTTTGTGTAAATCAAAACAATATCATATGAAACTAATTACATTCCGATCTATAGATGTTACCAATATGTTTGTGGGATATATGTACATCACATATCATTCACAAAAGATAACTATTTAGAATTTCAAACATGAAGGAATATAATATACAAGTAAGAGTATGAATGTTCAGTGATAAGTATAATTCAATAATATTAGGATTCCATAGGTTACATTTACCTTCGGTTGAACTGTACATGATGTCAGAGCAGTTAGAAATTGTCAATGAATGTCAAACAAATTCGTGACATTATCAAACTGTAAAACGACAAGGACTGTAACACCTCCGTTGAAGCGATCAACGGGGTCGATACTACTTGGCTTTGGGGCGAAAAGTTCATGAAATAATAACAAAGGTCAAATGTTGTTCACACGCTTCTAGTCTGGGATGCTGGATTATTATTCCTATTCGGTCTTCTCGGTTGTCCAACCGTGCTACACCATGCCCTCTCGCCTACTTCGCATTTGTTCAGGCAGCAAAGGTTCGTCTGTGGCGCCGTACTGCATTATATAGTTGACGTGTTACAGGCTGTGCCGGTTTCCAGCTACGGGGCACTGGAGAGGGGGACTAAAATGAAGGAGTTTTTGCTGAACTTAGGAGGACCCACTGTCAACCACATCCCCCCCGTATTGCAAAGACTCTGCTTTCCCGTTCGCTAAATTCAGGAGCTTTTCGAACCCTGCCGTTTGAAAAGTCGGGAACATTTCGATCCGATGCGGAAGGTTCGATGTCCTGAGTAGAAACCTTCAGTACCTCTGTCGTCCCCGTCGACACTAGCGCACCGGTGAGATTGGGAACTACCCTTGGAGAATGGACGTATCGAACTCCTGAGAAGAAATTAGTGTTCACGCAGAGAAAGCTCTGAATGGTTTTTGTATCAGGAGTGGGCGTGCGTCATTGTCAGTGTTATGCTTTTCCAGAATCGAAGCCCTGTTGTGGTCGGTCGCTGGAGAAGGTCAGTGGAGCGTTGAGAGGGTGGCAGGGGCAGGGGCAGGTCTATCTTACGAAGACAGCGTTCGGGGGTTTCATTGCAGGCTCTGGATTCCAGTATGGCGAGGAGGAAGATGAAGTTTTGAGCAGGCGTCAAGCTCTACTGTTGTTAGAGAAGTTTGAGATAACGGGAAAGTCGATACTGAGCCAGTGAGCAGGACAAGGGATTTGTAATAACAGGCAGAAAAAATGAGTGTCGTGGGAAAGGAATCGATGCAAACAATTGCGCAGTCAATTGGTATCTCAAATTTGAGTGATGAAGTTGCCGCTGCCCTTGCCCCAGATGTGGAGTATCGGATGCGAGAGATTATGCAGGTCAGCATGTGTTGCTAGTGGATGTCGGTCACGAAAGTGGTGACAGTTCCGTCATGAGCCCTCTGTGATTCAAATTCAATTTTCTTTTAATAATCTCAAGTGGATGTAGAGAATGGTTAACACACGTCTACTCGTACTGTCAGTCAATATGCCGAATAGGTTAAAAATTTACCGTGTGCTTGTCGTTCTGATGAAAGCCACTCTGCCTTTTCAGATGATTGGATAAACTTCAGAGAGAAGAAATCAGTAACTGTATTCAATCAACAAGTTCCTCCTGCCTCTGAACCGTTTCACTCGCTCCATGTTTGCTTTGCGTGTCCCTAACAGCTGCTTTGCAAAAATGTCCAGCCTGTACTTTATTTGACAACTAAAGTAGAGGCTGGATTTGCAGTTCTGATTGTTTACGCTCCTACTACTGTTTGTAAGTTCAAGCTGTTGTCAGCTTGAACCCCGAAAATATAACGTGGTTTGCTGAATGGATTGTCAATCTCCAATAATTCTTGGAATTTCAGCTCACATTTGGCCCTCGCACCTTCTTAAAGGGATTATCCTATTGTGAGTAGTGTGTGTTCTAGAGCTGGTCAAGAACTGAGCTTGAAGCACATTGTTTCATCATTGATAAATGATAACATTCTAGGTAGAGACTGCTCAGGAGAATAATACTCTGCTAATCTATGCATGCACTTTATATGCGCGTAAATTGATTTGTTGAACGGCTCATGTCTAGAGTCAGAAGGCTTTCATATATGGCAGGTGTTTGGATCATAGGTAGAGGCACACATCCAATTAACGTTGTCTTGCACTGATTTTGGTGGAATATCTTTTTCCATTCTGACGCTAGAATCTAGTCTTCAACTTTTGCTCCATTGCTACTTTCCCTATCGGTTCAGGCCATTCTGTTATGCAACTTTCTGTTTTCACGTTTTGACAAAGTAAGTATTCTTCCTCTTAGTGTTAATGAAACTGACCTTATGTTTCACAAACGCGACATGTTGTCTCACAGGAAGCCATAAAATGCATGCGTCATTCTAAACGTTCAATCTTGACCACGGACGATGTTAACAGTGCTCTCAGCTTGCGGAACGTTGAGGTACCAAATGATCTTCAGAGATCTGTTTTTACCGATTGTCGTCTCTTTTTAGCCTCAAATTTGCTCTCAAATTTGCAAAGTCGATCCTGAAAGTCATGGTTGTATATGAATGTCTTATAGACAAGAAAAGTAGACTACGTTTAGGATAAAATTTTGACTCCTTGTACATGACAGCCGCTTTATGGGTTCGCATCTGGAGATCCTTTGCGTTACAGAAGAGCTTTGGGTCATGCCGATTTGTATTACATAGAGGACCGAGAGTTGGACTTTAAGGAGGTAATCAAGTCTATCTTTGTTTTCCCATAGAATGTCACCCATTAGATGTAATATTGACACAGTTTTGAACGTGTAGGTGGTTACGTTTTTTATTCAGAATTTGAGTATGAACATCATATGTTACGGTATCAAATATTATGGATACTTGATGGTATACGCATTGTGTTGTTTTTTCAGTCTTAGTGGAGGATAATCTGTTTACATCAACATGACAGTTTACATGTGAATTTCCTCTCATTTTGTTGTCTCCGGTCCCTGTAGATAATCGATGTGCCTTTTCCGAAGGCACCTTTAGACACATCCGTTGTGGCCCACTGGCTTGCCGTAGAGGGTGTGCAACCCGCTATACCTGAGAATGCACCCATTGAACGTATGTTATCTAACTCTTTCTGTTGTTTTGGAAATTTCTAAATGACATAACTGATTTTACTTATTTTGAAACTGTCGAACTACCAGTTTTGAATTGAGCTCCTTATACTCATTGAACATTTATATCTAGTATTGAATTCTTCTTTTGAATTCTTCTTCTGAGTACGTATGAGTCTACTTCGTGACTATTCATAAGTACAATAACAGACCTAACTATGAGGTGCATTACAGGACGAGTTCATGTTTCCCTACTATAAGGAATGTATTAAATTTTGAAGACTTACTGAGTGTTTGACGTATTACAACAACTTACAGCAATTACAGTGCCCCCTGAGGCAAAGAAGGTGGACGGTCAAGCAATAGTTCGTAAGGAGGAAGACGCGTTGGTTGAAATCAAGCCCCCAGTGAAACATGTGCTATCTCGAGAGCTTCAGGTTGGTAAAGAAAAAATCTGAATTAGGTGCAGTATAAACTTGGACTTATGTCTGATTAGCATATTGGGTGTCAGTTATGACACTAACAGTAATGGTTCTCAATCAATTCCTGCAGCTCTACTTTGAAAAGATTACGGAGCATATAGTATCTGGATCAAATCCAGGGCTAGTGAGGGACTGCTTGGTGAGCCTGTCTACGGATTCTGGCCTTCATCCGTTGGTTCCTTATTTTACCCAATTCATAGCAGACGAGGTGAGTTAAATATGAAAACCGCTTTGTGTTCAAACAAGAGGTTGATTTGTTGTACGTGTTGCTTGGGAATGTATGAAGATATAGAGTCCTGCAAATTTGTAAATTTTCAGCAATTCTTACAAATTTTTCTTCAGATGATGACAATTTCTGCCTCGTTGTCTATGTCGAAGGTTGCAAGCAGCCTTGATAATTTTGCCCTGCTGTTTTCCTTAATGCGGGTTGTACAAAGTTTGCTTCTCAATCCACATATTCACATCGAGCCTTATGTAAGCTTCGATTTTCTCACCTTCATCACCATCACTGCTTTTTTGGGGGTTCGTTATTTCGTTGTCGCATTTGAATTTTATTAAATACACATCTTGTGTCATCTATTATTGTCCTATAGATGTGTCTGATTTGAAGCATGCTCTCAGTTATAGCTTCGTTGGCTGACAACCCACGATAAATATACTATTATCTGATATATGAAGTCATGTATGTTATATTTAAATTTTCTATCCTAGACGGTAGAAACCCTGATGAAAGATTAAACTGGGCTCGATGCAGCTTCATCAGTTGATGCCCTCTGTTATCACATGCCTAGTGGCCAAACGTATAGGCGATAAGGCCTTGGAGAATCATTGGGAGCTTCGAGACTTCACGGCTAGTATTGTCGCCTTTATTTGCAAAAGGTAGCGTCTCCTTGAACTTGTTTGGCTGCATTAACTCTTATATCAACACTGTTTTCATGCGCTGGGATTGGCATTTCCTATCTTCCATGGGTCCACATTTTTAAGTGATTACCTTTTGCTGTAGTTTTTCCTTGTATTTAAAAAAAAAAACTAACTTGAGCTATGATGATGAAAGGGACGCGTTACCTTTTCTTGCACTTCGTCGTTAGGTCCATGTTCATGTCCATGTTCGTCAGTTCTTTGCACTCCAAGTAATTGAAGTAAATTATCATTAGGTAACCTTATGAAAGTTGAAATTTCCTTGTATGTTTTCAAAATCTTGGATTGACAGATGCTGGTTTGATACTTGTAGAAAGGTTTTGTGCCAGGACACCTAAGATCAATTGTGAATTATGGAAATTTCTTGGTTACTGAAGGTGTGCGCGATTCCATTTTGTAGGTTTGGTCATGCATATCAAAATCTTCAGCAAAGAGTAACTCGCACCCTCGTGCATGCCTTTCTGGATCCCAAACGTGCTATGACCCAACATTACGGGGCCATAACTGGCCTCTCTGTTCTAGGTTTGCGAGTGGTAAATATATCTGTCCACATACTTCTCTTCATGTTTCTTAAGTTATTAGCATCTACTTAAGAAAATTGAAACCACGTGTATCTTCCATTAAAAAAATAATAATGTTATAAGGATAAGTTAAATAAAAGAACAAAAAACAATCAAAATATTTTATGTGTTTTATTTCTTATCTTGTTCTCGTAGATCGAGTACTTGTTAGAGCAAGCACTAAATTTTGTCGGGCATCTTATTACTTGCCTGTGAGTTAGAAGGTAAATATTTTTGCATCCTAATCGGGGGCTAATGTAGTTATCACGAACATCATGACTTACAAGCTTTGCCCTACCTTGTTGCAGGTGCAGTTACTGATCCTCCCCAATCTTCCTCCCTACCTCCAGCTGCTAGCACCGGAACTAAATTTTGAATCTCAGCCAAATGAAATGAAGAGATATGAGGCTTGGAAGGTCTACGGTGCATTGCAGGTTGTTATTATCAGTTTGCTATGTCTAATACAATTTGCTTGCTTTTGTCTTCGTGTCCTTTTCGGAAATCCTCGAACCTCGAGTACTATCTCGGGTGAAGGTATAACCATATAACTGGTTCGATATTTGAGGAGTTGGGAGTAAGAAATTGTACCAGTTTAGAAGATGATGTCAGTAAGTTAAAAATTTTTCAACAATGATAATGATTGTTTTTCTCATCTTCCTTCGTTTGTTTTCGTCGTCCTTAAACACTCGCACCCTCCAGCTAGGGTGTAGTTACAATGGTCTCCGGTTTGTAGCACATGAATATTAATGATTACAGTTCTTTTTGGCGATTGATGACAGCTGGGCGCAGGAAAATGGTTGTACCACAATTTGAAATCACATCCAGAGTTTTTCTCCGCACCTGGGAAATCAACTACGAAAGCTCCCCCGAAAGCAGTGACAACTTTTCAAGAATCACGTACTGAGCTATAACTTTTTTTCAATATTCCCAGTTATTGATTACAAGTGGAATGTAGAATAAACTGTGTGGAAATCTCTAACTGTCCTGGGTTTTAAATGGTTGGATTCATGATGTAATCTGTTAAGTACTAACCGTTTTGAATCTTATTGTATGATAATCAATTGTATCTTACTGGATGCAATACCTAAGCACGCTAATATCGCAGTGAAGAGATATACTGATCTCAAAGGATTTATCCGCTGTAACTAATAGTACACACATCATTGAGCATGTTGAAGATCTTAAGCTTTCTTTGAGCATATTGAAGGTGTGCATTACATGCACGTCGACCGTCTATCGTGCTAGCGTTACGTACGTCTTCATCTGGACTCCCTTGTCTGGTTGTCATGATTTTCATTCGCGGTTAACATGACTCTGAGTATTTGAATGTGTGAGATTGCAGAGGCCTCGGTGAACGGTTTGGCATCACCCTTGACGACCAGTCCCTCGAGGAAAAGAGTTGCCGCGCCAGATGTGGCTAATCAGAGCTCACAGAAGAAATTTGCGGTGGATGGTGCTGCTGATGTGTCTTCACTCAGTTCAACTATTACGGACAATGTTGAAGCGGAAGCAACTGATCTGTCGGTAAGAACTGTTGATCAAGGAGCTGATGGTAGCAAAGGAAGATTACCAAACAGGAAGTCCAATCCTTTGGCTGAGGCATGGAAGGATGATGCAGATATAGGTGGCCTTTTTGCCTCATTGATAGAGAGTTTTGGGGATGGAATGCTCCCTTTTATACCAACAAGAGAATTATGCATGTTCATATAAGTTGCTGTTAAATACATATTTCCAACCTTCGTTTTCAGATACAGCATGAGTTCGGAGCTTTCTTCTTGTTCCTTCCTGGTCGTCACTCCTGAATACTTCGATTCTATTTTGCAAAGAGTGTTGGAATTCCAAAAGTTTTTTCATGTGAAATGAATTTAATTCTCTTTGAGCATTATATAACTACTGTATATTATAAATGAAATAATACTCAAAGAACAGTATATTATTCAAGCGGTACATATTTTTTTTAACTTTCTACTCATAGCCTGAAGCCACTAGATTCCGTGCCTTGTGCGAACGTTGCTTGCACGAATCTATAGAGAGAAGTCAGATCAGGTTTAGATCGAAATTTGCGTGCGAAGAGGGTTCCTCTATGTGTAGGACCTAGTCCAAAATAAAGGGTTGTCCTGAGGGAGTTTCCAAGTTTCAACCAAGAAAGCCGCCACTGGCTCATCCACTGATGGACCCTTTTGGCCCCAAAAGTATTGACTCAGACGCTTTGTGTGTGAGTAGAGCCAGCAACTCAGGGATGCTGTGGTGTGTAATGCCATTCTCGATCTGTCGAAAGGTGCTGCATGTAACCAGATGTTGGATAGTGGTTAGTCATTTTTTGCACTCAGTATGCAAGTAGCAGGGTGGTTCCCTCTCTTGATATTTTTGTGGTTAATAGTGATGACTCCCATCTACCGCCTGAACTTCAGCCTTGTGTCTAGGTATTGAATTTTTCAAAGATATTGCCGGTTCAGGATACCTAATAACGGGCTCAGGATATCCCGTGGAGAGGGAGATTTCAGATATATGATATACTGCCTCTCCACTGTGTTAAGGTGAGAGCACATTTATCCCTTCTGAAACTGACGTTTCAAGCGGACCCAGTGCTTTCTCACAGGGATGTGTACTTAAGGATAATGATGCGGCCTTCCTATACTTGTCCCTGACTCCAGCCATTTCTTAGTGGGTCTCCTTTGTTTTATGCGAGTCCATATAGCGTCGGGTAAAACTCGGAGTGTACAGGTGAACATGGATATGGCATATGGTGCAACTGCCGTCTCCACCTCAGATTAGTAATATCAAGAAACGCTAGGGTAATCACTGCGAACTTGCTACTTCACGGACCGTTCTTGTTGTTGCAGCGAACCTAGTGCAAATGGGAATCAGTTGCGCTGCTTCGAACATATCTAGTGGACTGGAGTTAGCATTTCAAAACTGCGGCTCCATGTATTAATGAAGGTCGCGTATTTTAAACTGCAACTGAACGTTGGTTTAGCGGTGATATTCCTACACGGGACAAACTTGGGAATACCAATCACCTCATTTTGTGGTCATGTCAAGTAAAATCAAATAGGAGATTACCATACTGTATAAATTTTATTCTCGTTCAGGAATCCAAGCACCACGACCATTTTGACAGACAAATTTCATTTCCGAGAATTCATGTCGGTGTGGTTTTTTTGTTTGTGCTTTTAGTTCTGTTTCTTAAGAATGAAAGTAGGAGTGATGGTTTCTGAAATTCAGAAGTTTAGGTGTGGATATTTGGGGTAGGAGGTTTGCAAAATTGCATAAAGATTCATGTCATGGGTATACGGTGAGATTTATGGGTTAGATGTCTGTCTCGTCAGAATCTAGACTAGGATTCGGCTTCACGTGTAATTTTGATCCTCATCTGGTTGTTACCTCTCTCTGTTTGTGACCTTTACCAATTACCAAATCTCAACAGCTCTTTAACTACTACGTCAAGTGAAAGCCATACTTACACTGTTCTATTATGATTCGAATTCAGCAGATGCACATCAGATCTTTCGCAAACACATTGAGCTTGATGTTATTCTTCACAAGGTTCATTTTCAAAATTCTTTATTCCTCCATCGATAGTGGTACGTGCCGTTGAACACTTATTGACGATCAGATATACACGTGGCCAGCTATGAATGACCTTCGATCTTCGACCTTTCTACAGTTCACATGAAGGATAATAGAACTAGAGCTGATTGCTGGCACTTCTTATGATTGGCTCTGGACCCTTACATTGCATTCTTCTTGCAGAGGCAGCTCGTTTTTGTAATTTTACAATGTCAACTTTATCCATGGCTGCCTTCATGCGGGAACTCTCTACCTTGACCGATTCAATCTTGGCTCTTGGTCTGAGCCAGTCCGAAACCCCCTGCAAACAAATAATAAGATACTTCGATTAAGTCCTGAACATTATGAGGAGAGTGATGCTGCAAGCAACATAAAAGATCCCAGACTGGGATCATGATCGTGACCAAGATCTGCAGAATGGTTCAGGTAACGGGCAAATACTATATAGGATTGTATCATACTAGGTTGTACAAAATTCTTTGTCCATTCAAGGAGACAGGCCTTCATTTGTGAGATGTAATTAGTGTCATGACACTAGACCTTGATCTCCTATCACTTAGCAATAGGGTTTTACAAACCTGCTGAACTGTGGGCGAGTTACCGAAAATTCTGTTGTAGGTCTCCTCACGATTAACCAACTCCAGCCTTAATTGACTCGTCTTTTCTGGAATTTCATAGCGCAAAGATTCATGGAGTCATTTGGTCCTCTTTAATTTGAACTCACACCATATAACTCAACTTGAAATATGTGCAATGCATATCTATGGTAGAAAGTATAATGTGTAGAAGGTAGATCCCGTCCTGTTGTTGTCCGTTCTCAATTTTCTTTCTGTTTCCCCGGTGTAAAATGCCTCATTAAAATCACAATAACCTGGCATATGGTAGATTATCGGTGGACTATTCAATAGATACACCTACCGTGTAGCTCTTGAATCGTACTATCCTTCTGAAGACATGTTTCTTGCAATCTCATCAGATGCACCACGTCTTCTTCTCTGGATTCTCTAGATTCAAATCGTTTCTGCCAACATACACATATGTCGTAAATTTCCAGAAGTATTGGAAGGAGAATCATTAAAAGCGTTGATAGCCTATTAAGCCCAATAAGTTACATAAGTTGCAGCTGTACATTTTCTTTTTGGATTTTTCCTCTGGTTGGGCCTAGAGTATACTCTCTTTGACTGCTATGCAATATCTTTTGACTACTTTTAAGCCGGAGGACTATTACTGTATGAAAATGACCGCCGAATGATCTATTCTCGTCATATCCAATTTAAGACCTAAAAATCAGTCTCAAGTTTTCTGAAAGTACCAAATCTGTTGTCGCTATAACGAAGGGTACTGTATTTATTCCATGTGGAAATTGAAGTAACGGGAACGTCATGCTGGAGATCATTGTTACCTGTAGCTTTTTGAGTTTCTCCTCCAAATCTTTTTTAACTTCCTTCATTTGCAGCTGTAGAGAGCACACTTTACCTAGTCGAATTAAATACTAGAGAGAATAATGTACTCAAAATATAGCTTCTGTTGTTTTACTGCAAGCTCAATTCAGCCATCTCGCTTATATTGAAATTGAAACCCCTCACGACTGATATTTAAGGGTTCTGAGATCTTGGTGCATCAAGTATACTAACAGCAAAAGGTCAATCGAATGCTTGATGCTATGATCACAAAAGCACACCTATAAGAGTACATGAAAACCAACAGTTTATATTCTCCCTTGACTGCACCGTCTTGAAGTTTCTTTGTATGCCACTAAGCCGACCAGTTTGTTTGCATGAATGTTGAGAGGGGTTGTCGCTATGAACTTGACCTTTCCTCTTGTAAGTCTCCAGTCACGAGAGGTAGCAGAGGGAGACTTCCCAGTATTACTAATTGCTTTGCTCTGTTGTAATCAGCTTTTTTGGAACTCTGACATTTAGGACTTTCGTTTTCAAATCAGATATGACTTTGGTAACGTACTGAAGGAATCATCAATTTTTTCTCCGGCTTAACATGGTTGCAGATCTGACAGGTTTAGAAACAAAGTGCTATTTACTTGAGCTTTTTCTGCAAATTTCTGAGAAGCCTCTAATGCAGTTCTGTTCTTCGTCTGCAACTCTTCAATCACAGCCGATCCTTCCTTCTGAAGATCGTTCAGCTCAGCTCGTTGCCTCTCCATCCTGTTTGATTAGTCCTTGGTATTACCCACATCATTGACCTTGTTTTCAATGTGCCCCTTTCACTTTTAGCCCGTTCCGACATTATTACTAGAAGAGTAGATTGAAAATGCCAACTTTGACATCACATTTTCGCTTGGAAAGAAAATCGACTATTTCCAATTTTATACTGAGAACAGCCCGCTGAAGGAATACAAGTTGGGTTATTATTAATTGAAGGTGAATCTAACTGTTCAAATATTTTTACAGATATTGGAACGAGACTGTAAAAACATGTGTACCTACGAAGGCAACCAGGCTGTAGTACACGAACTTTCACTGTGAAGGGTGTTTCTTAGAACTTGAAGGGCAGGGATATACATGTCGCATATCGTTTGTTTGTGGCTTGTCTTCATCTCCTGCAATGCGATCCTACTGCTCTCTTCCATCTTTGCAATTACTTGCAGTAATTCTTGATTTCTGTCTTCCTGTAACCATCAAGGGCCACATCGTTAACCTCGATGATTTTGCTGTTTCGTGCATATCAATTTCAGCTCTTGGAAATGTTTAGCATTTGACGATGGGAATCATTGATTGAGGTTGTTCACTAGAGGGCACTAATGAACCTGAATGTCCGTCGAGATGAACCTTGTATTAAGTAGTCTGGGGATATATTAGTTGAAACGGATTGGAGTTTATTACACGCGAGTGTGACATAGAACTCTGCAAGTAATATTGGTGGCATCCTAAATCATTTTTGGAAGCTCTCTTTCTCCATGCCTCAGTGTTAGATGTTGGGAATTATTTGTTCATTAATACAGCTACATATCGATTTATTTACTGATAATTTAAGAATAAAAAGCTTTAGGCATAAGTAGAAGTATACTTCACTTTACACGACTACTCCATCCACGAGTACTCAAAGTTGAGACTCGTTCTTAACACTTAACTACATGCCCAAGGTGTTAAATACGGAGGGATTCCAATGACACCTTGACGGTAATTAGTGATTCTAGCTCAGATATATGAGCTTGCAAGTCGTGAACTTCCTTCTTTCGTTCCGTTTCAAGCTGCAATAAATAGCATGTCCTTTTGTTAGTTGTTTGGGTGCGTAAGATTGTTGGATCGGTTTACTGCTGGAAGTCCACTTCCGAACCTGATCAGTTCCTACAATCGAGCCTTAATGTGGACCACGTCTTTTGCACTAACGAGCATTTGCCTACTGTAACACACGAGCAAGTTTGTTGGTATTCATATTGTTCGAAGGACGGGGTTTCCTATACCTCCCACACACGCCCATGGGCATTCGGTGCGTCAAAGCCTCAAGAGCAGATAAGGTCAATTCTAAGGCTGAGACTGTTTCACGAACACGTAGGAAAGTGAAGATGCATGCTAGGTGAGATTCTGTGAACTTGGAATTGTATATGTAGTGATGAAGTGGTGAGATTCTTACTTTGAGCTTCTCTTCTGCAAAGGAATTCAGTAATGAGTTTCTTAGCTCATCGAGTGCAGTTTGGAGATGTTTGCTAGAGGTTGCAGCCTCATTCTCTAGTCTCTCCTCCCATTTGTCTTCTGCACTCTTCAGTCTGATCTTCCACTCCTTCTCGATGCTCGAGAGTTGACTGTGATATTTTTCACTCATCGTTTGGATTTGCATTATGTGATCCTCTTTCAGATCATACAACTCATGTGCCAACTTCTGAGAAACAGCCTCGGATACCTTCAACGCTTCCTGGCACTCTTTCTTGCATCTCTCCAACGCATCTTCGGATTCTTCTTGTTGAGTCTGCGGTAGCATATTCATTATGAGTCCTTCGAGGTTTCACGCAGATCTGCACTGTGTAAGATTCATTGATCTACAATTCTAAAACAAAGTTCTGTTTTTAAATGGCTCAATAGCTGTAATAATAGATGCGTCTAGCTCGGACAGGCCTAATCTGGGTATCATAATTCTTCGAGACGATTATTTTCTTAAGTGGTAACTCACTACTACAGTTTGTTCACACGTGGTCCCTTCCTAAAATAAAGTGTTTGTTAGGAACAGGACACAGGGCGGGAATTTCGATATAGATTCCGAAAATTGTACTGAACTTGCCTTCAATTCATTCATGTGTGTGCGCACCAATCTGGTCTCTCTGTTCATGGCTGCATCTAATGCATTCCTGAGCTCTCTAAGAGCTTTCTCATGTTCTAAGGTCATCAATTCAACTTCTTCGCTGCACTCGATTTTCTTCCTTCGTAAACAGCTATCCAATCTAGATGTCTGCTCTGCAATTTCCGCATCCTGAAGAACGGACGACCTCTTAATTACTCATATGTTTTGCATGAACGGGTTAGTAACACTTGCGACACAGGCGGTCACGTCTTCACCGTTCGTTTCTGGAGAGTCCATTGGTCAAGTTGTGGGCCCAACTGCTCGAGGTACTACTGGAATATCGTGCTAGTCTATTATCAAATCATATCGAGTCATCAGTTAAATTTTTGAACTGCAGGCCCCGCTTGCAGTTCTTATCTGCTCTTGAGGCCATGATGCACACTGCTATTGTTTACACACTCAGAATCGTTCCTGTCAGTTGAAACCATACACAGTAAGTTCCAGATTCCGTGTCCGTCAAGTATCTTCTACATAATTTACTAAGAGAACGCCGGGTACTTGATTTCGGACTCTTAAGTTGTTCCCGAGCTGCATTTACATATATATGAGGGAACTCTAAATAGAGTTTCCTCATTCGTTAGTCTCGTGATCAGTGTCTGTCACACGATGTGGACATTCCATAGTCAGATGAACACTGTCAACTCTAGGAAGGGTTTAGACAAGTTACGAAGAGCAACACACTGCCACATTATTAACTGATGAGGATGTTTCAGATGAAAAGAGATGGAACTGGGACGGAGTAGTCGAGCTCAAGATGTTAAAGAGAAAGTGATGCTTTACTTTAAGCCTTTTGAACAGTCAAACATAGCAGTGGTACGAACTTGACGAATAACTGATTGTCATATAAACTCTCATCGTCCAGGAGGTAGGTAAGACAGACGCGAGCCCCGCTAGTTTGGAGTGAGGTAGTGAAGTGAAGTAGTGAAGTTTGGAACGAAAAGCTTCCGCATCGGACTTTCCAGTATCTAGCTGAGTGCGAGATGTTTTGATATTTTGCGGTCTTTTACCAGCATTTTCTCTATTAGTTATACCACAATGACAGTTACCTGTACTCACTGTTGGCAGGCATAGTCTGCATAATTTCCTCTTTAGATATTCCATTGTGATTGCTTGTTCTGAAACTATTTCCACGATGAGTATTTCCAGCTTATATGACGAAGGCAAATTATTTTCTCACAATATTTCTCGTTTCTACTTCTCACGGTGGGTTGCCTTCGTGTTCTAAGAACTCCCCTAGAAAGAAGAAACAGGAAAAATGGCAGCGAGGTCTGATATTCTAAGGCCCCTCTTCCCGAACTGCAATGGAGGTTTCGATCCTTTTTTAGTGGTGTTTCATGGTTCTGAGGTTCGCTATGGCGGATTTCTGATAAAAGGTTCACCATGCATCTTTCAGATAGAGAAAAAGCTCTTCCCCTGGTCGGTGCCCTTAAGAAGCAAAGATTCTTACCAGATTGACAGAAGAGGCAAAAAGGCAGTGCTTGAGCTATCTCTTGCTGGCCCTGAAGTTTCGTCAGGTAATGGACATCATGGCTTTGTTTGTCCACATATCCCAGTGTCAGTCCTGTCTCCTTGAATGTGAAGGAGAGAATTCAATGAAGCCAACACAAGGCTCAGCTTTGGTGCACTGCGGCTGCTGACAGAGATCAGATGCACAAATAAATGTCCGAACGGAAAATTGCCCCGGTATAATCAAGAACTCCAATCGCAGCAAGGTCTCCTCCTTCCCACAGCCGCTCGTTCCTTGGTTAGAGATAGATATGAGTACACAAGACACATTCAAACGTTGTGCTTGTGGTCTATATCCATCACATCATGACTTCGGACTGCAATTATCCGAATCCAACTTGTGGACTGTAGAGTGCATCGTTCTGATTCACCTCTTCATCGTGACGATAGAGCTCGTGCAACTTCATGAAGCTCTTGGGAGCACACATCACAGAGTTCTACAGAATCAAACCACGACCTGAATCTGGAACTGCGTTCCATTGGATATAACTGCACATTGTAAGAGTCTGGGGTACTTCACTTGAATTGCACTGAAAACTTCAAAGAATTTCCGAAAAATACAATCTTCATCACCGCAGAATTTATCCGACTGCCGGTAAATTCCACTGTAAGGAGGAATGCGCAGACTGTTCCCGGGTGACAGTCACTGCTGTCAGAGTTTACAGCGAGAATTCTCTGCCTGTATGACATTCGCCTCGTCATTCAGCTGTCTAGAAAATTCCGCAGGCTTCAGCTAAAAGCTGTAGTTGTTGAGGAAGAATGACAAATGAACGACTTACAGGTTGGGCAAATTGCTTGCGAGAGATTCAGCACGGTGTCCCAACAGTCCCCGAGAGGCAACCCTGTCCAACTAGCGAGTCATTGCCTCGCACAAACACACGTCATCACAAGGCTCGAACAAATCGAGGACTAGCAAGCCCCACAGATTGCTTCTCCACAAATGCAGTGCAAAGTGTACCACGGGAAGGCAACCTGTCGAACTTGCGAGTCATTGAGTTGCCCAAAGAAAAAGTTTCAGCTCATTCCCTCACTACATTCTCTTTTCAGTGGGAGCACTGAAACATCCATCAGCACAGAGGTGGTCGGTCTACGATACCCGCTCTCCCAGAAAGCATCCCAGGCGTTGCACAGCAGACGAATGACAGGTCGCCACTGCTGGAATCAATCTCTGCAATCCAACCTGCTGCGTGCAAATGTACGTCACCCTCCGCAAAACACTTGTGGCTCTATTAATTTAAGCTCCCTTCAAGGTCAAACCCCCTGGACACATTACCCGTGACTTGCATATTAACGTCCAATGCTGGACTCCTCGTGTCGACAGCCGAACAGCCAAACACACAAGCGAATCAGTGCGTTTGACTTCAGGTCTCGGAGTCCAGATCATGGCCATCATCAGAGCTACCTCCACCCGTAATCTCAGAAGGTTCTCGGCAGATCCTTCTGACCCCACAGGCTTCCAACAGAAGCACTCTCTAATTCGCACATTGGCGAGGGGCTTTCAGCCTTTTAGTCGTCATCCATCGTCCTTAGGGTTAGGGCTAGCCCCCTGTTACTTGACCCCTACTTAGGCATGATGCTCTTGTACTGGAGGTGTACTATTAATCATGGCGTGCTCTCTCTTCCCGACTTTACGTGCGGATAAATGACGAAATTGAGCCGTGGGTTGTTAGATCTCAGATATGGCCAGCTCCTAGTGCAATGATTACATACCAGGGCGGATGTGCTTGCTCTAGGGGCACTACACTAGTGGGAGGAGGAAGATCGGGTCACGAATTGCGGACCACTGAGGGCTTGGGTTGGTCATGTCGAAACCTCGGTACTGTTGGACCCCGGAAAAGTTGGTTTCCGAGATTTTTCCCAGACAGTAAGGTTAAGATTTTTGGAAGCTGTTCTGTCACTTCCTCTCTCACTTCCTTCCGTCATCATCCGAGAAGATCAGATTTTCTCTCGGCAGATTTTAGGCAGAAAGGTCGGATCTTCCCGACCGCCTCGATCCCGAATGAGTGTATCTGACACCCAGTCGGGATCGAGGATGGAGTTCACTTGCTACTTTAGCACGTCAGGTACAACATGATCCAAGATGTTCCTGCCTCGTGGTTCAAGGAACAAGAGGGAGTGAGTACTCCTGATTCGATCTGATTTTGAGCCTGAAAGATCAAGGAATCTTGCGATGTCTCATGGCATGAGCTCGTAGACTGCCTTGAGAAGTTTCCTAGAGCGTCGACGGTCAATTTTAGTATGATATCTGGAAACCTGAAGTTTTGGGCACGAGAGGAAGTTTTGTAGTACAACACTTTCCCTCGCAGCTAGAATGACCTGAGATTACCTTTTCGGCTTGAAGCTGAGAGGTCAATGCACCAATCTCCTTCTGCAAGGGACATACAAGATCCAGTGAGAGATGTAGCCTGTGTCAACAGGTCCGCGGGTGCTAGAAAACCAAGAGAGAGATTTTGATTTGGTTGGTATCGGAAGGTACCCTGTGCTCTCGTACAAGTTCTGCCACAGCCCGATTGTGCCCCTCCTTCAGCCTCTGCATGTCATTCATACACCTGCATATTATTCAGACAAAGACCTTTGGCGATTTCAAAACTCGAGATACTCGAACTGCAAATACTCTATCCTGAGACTAGAAAGCAGCGGGCATGCGATAACAGCACCTAAAGGAGTGCCCAGTAGACTGGTAAACTGCAAATCAGCGACCATCAAACTCACGACAATTCTTGTCTTCGCGTGTTCTATTCTTCTTAAGAACAATTTGAAAGACAAAACCATGGTGAGGAACCAGACTCGATTGACTCGCAGTCTTCAACTTCTCCATCTAAGATAAAGCCGTAATTGAATTGTAAACTATTGCTGTTAAGAGGGTCGAGCCAATGAAAGTGGTTTTCCTACGTTTTGAAACAGAAAAGTGTGTTCAAAGAATATTTTGATGATGAGAAGCAGGTTGTTGACCCGAAGCTCAGTATAATTACATTATCCAGCAGACGAGAATCACTAGTCGGAAGGAGCCTAAATTCATCCCAACTGACCGATTCCGTGCATTGTGCGCTGTGATAGTGCTGGAAAAGGGGACAAGAATATACTGCTGAATTTGTGAAGCATGACTCTGAACAGCAGTAGCAATTGCTAGATTATGTTCGCGATCTGCTTCTGTTAAGGCCTGCTTCAGTAGTGCGACCTCCTCACAATAGCTCATGGTCCTGGCTCCATACTTCCCACCACAATGAAATATCATATTCACGTTTCGATGTGATCAAAGGTAACTGTCTCAAATGGAAGCTCCAATATCTCGTTTTTTTCTCTTTCGGACGATCACAGAGAAGGTACGCGCGAGGAGATAAATATCTATTCCATTCTGTGTGACCTTCAGACTTGTTCATGTACGTATAGAGATCAAAGAAGTGCTCAAGCCTGGTACGGAATTTCTGAGGAGGAAACTTATTTAAGTCTTTTTGCAAAACTCATCAGATCTCACGTCTGTGGTAGGCATTCTTTAGTCTGCTGTGTACCTCTTGCGTAATGGCAGTCAACTTTTTTTCGAGGCTGACACATGCTGCTTGACTTTCTTGAAGATTCATACCCACCTGCTCATGGATGACGTCAATCAGCACTTTCTTGCGAACATTTGAACGGCATCAAACCGTGATGGGTTATTAACGCTGATGAACCGGGCTTGAACGTACTGATGAATGCGTTGTAAACAACTCAAACCTCCCACCCACTTGACTTGATGGCACGACGTAAACTAATGACTAAAAAGAGAGCAATTCGCAGAAATCGTTCAGATTATTTGTACTGCAGTAATGCGCAACTACCGACCTGTTTAGACTGTTGCGTATGTTTCAATACTTGTTTCAGCATAGAGTTGAAGTCCTCCTCTAATCCAGATCCTTTACTTTCCATTTTGTCCAACTTCTCAATCAGCTCCACAATCTGGCAAATTGGTCCACAATTTAGCTACATTTCCTTGAAGCAGGCAGTACCAACCTCTTACTCAGTCTATGTGTGGAAAGCAGAAGTAAGCTTATATTGGTGCATTTATCTGCTCACAAGATACAGACTGAAAGCACCTTTTTTGAATAAATCTCGAATTGTGAAACAAGCTTTGTTTCCTGATCCCCCATTTTCTGCTCTACCGCTCTCAAGGACTTCATGTATTCCGCGCAAGCCTCTTTTGCACGAGCCTTTTCTTCTTCTGTGGGAAAACGGTTGCAAGGTGCTGATTGGCAACGAAACATCGAGAGTCCTCTACAAGTCAAGGTGTCGAATGTCCTCGTACTAACAAAAACCATCGGCTGGATATCTGAAATGACATGACAGACAGTGAACTTACTTTGTCTCTGTAATTTCTCCTCCATCGATTCTAGCTGAAGTTCGCTTCCCTTTTTATGGTCCTCGAGCTGTACACATTCATTCATGGTAGTGAGGAACAGAGTATCTCTGACTCTCTTCTCTTCGGAGAGTCTGTATATCAAGAGAGAACGATGATATAGAGAATCGTTCCTGATATAAGAATAGCCGCAAAACGATGTTGGTGAGTCGGAAGGATGCAAACCGCTCTATTATTCATGCTTGTAATCTCGCTAACCTGGTAACAGATTAGCATGCACGTCATGATCGCGGAGATTAAGGCAAAGCATCACAGAAAGTCTGTTTACATCACCTGTGACAAGAAGGACATTTGAAGACTTTGGACATTCCTCTCATGAGCCTGAATCTGTTGCTGTATTCTTGTCTCCAAAATTTCGTTTATTTTACTGCAAGACTCCTCGTTCTGGCCACAATGGTATAAAATCAGATTTTCCATATTGTGAGGTCTTTTCATGGAGCATGAAGACTACATGGGCTCATTTTAAGCATTTTGATGGATCAGAGAAGAGTCACAACCTCTCTGTATTCCAAATGTCGAGCTGTTATCGTAAAATACGGTGACAACTACACGTACATGCTAGCATCATGCATTGATTGAATGGAGACAAGAAAATGCCAGACTTCAAGGGTTGAATCAAGAGAGAATGGTGGGTAACACGGTCGTCAGTAGAAGGAACTCAACAAAATGCTAACAATGGCTGCAGGTATGTTTTTATACCTGAATAATACACACTAGCAGTAGCCTCAAGATATCCTCTGTAGGAGTCCTGATTTATTTTTCAGCCTCACAATCTACCACAATTCTCTTCTACTCTAGCAACAATCTGGAGACTGAACGGTATGAATATAATCACATCTCCAGGCATAAGCTCTGAGGTTCAACTGAGATTTTGAAACCACAAGTTCACTGTCAAATAGCGAGGGTATGTCCATCAACTTCTGTTTTTATGTACCATCAGATGATTTTTGCATTCGCCAGGGTGAATTCCTAACTCGAACTTCATCTATCTACTACCTACTTCTCGTCAAGATCATGTGGCTACAAGTGGGAGAAAAAGCCGTTCTTAAAAATGGCGTGCACTTTCTAGAAAAAGAGAGATGTTTCGACATGATTCACTTAAAATTAGAAATCACCGCACTCTGTGTTAACAGTGTTTTGACAGTGCTAAGAAAAGCCCAGTTCTTGAGGAGGAGTCGTCGAATAAGTAATAAAAGAATTCAAGACCCCACAAAAGCAGTTCAGAATTCAGCTCTATCTTTGAAAGGACTGGTTTCGTACAAGGCACGAAGGAACTACGTTCACCTCTTTTTTGAGTTGATCTACTTCCATGACCATGAGACTCAACTCCCGACGGTTTGAGGCAAGCTGAAACGCCAACTCTTCCACCTAGAAACAGACACTTAAGGAAAAACAGCCAATACTGTATAAATATGAAGCAATCATGTTTGACTGTGATGCATATTTAGAAAACTGGCTAATAATCGAACACTGATCCTCAAACTCGGACTTAACTGGATACAGATTCCACACGTAGAACAGAAGTATGGGTTGTGAAGTACAGTTCACCAACAATTCACTCTGCCAATCCACATGAATTTGGAGGACAGTCTAGAAAATTCTCTCTTCGGGGTACACCTTAGACAATCGGAGATTTTTTATCCAATCAATCCCAGGCTAGAAGACTTCAAAGTTAGCGTCAAAAAAGATTTTTTTGCAATCATGAGCACCTTGATTCTGTAGGTTTTGATGTCATTCTCGCTCTCTTGGCAAGCTTTTGTCATGTTCTCTAGATCTGCTCTCAAGAGACTTGCCTGAGATTCCTGTTCATTACAACAGCAGCCAAGAGTGCTATCGGAATGCAAAATTCATTTCTGTTGTGCGGTTCACTCAGGGATAGACAGAGTTCCCAGTAAAAGGTATGCGACCTACCCATTCTGAGATAGCTGCACTATGCGAATTTTCAGATAACCTGCAGAATTTTCATCGTGTGAACAGTATTAGAGACAAAAATTATCTTTGCAATGTTTTCTCTAAAGTAATAATAAAGAATCGCATTTGTCGGTTTGAACTTGTTGCCTGCACATTTTTTAGTCCATTGTCATCAAAGCTACAAGTTATTCTGCCAAATGGGATTCATGGTCCTGCGTGTTTTTTCTACTCACAGTGCTTCTTGCTTTAGTGTTTCAATCGTTAAAGACAAATTGTCTTTGCTGATCAAAGCAGTTTCCAAATTCTCCTTCTGCGAACTGCCAAAGAATGATCAATTGCACTAGAAAACGCGTTTTGCAGGACTTGCAACCTACAAACTGAGCAGCTGTATCTGTTTTTACATTCTTGTAAAAATCAGAAATCTTTCCAACGACATGAATGCTGAAGCGTAGGGTCTGTGAGAGGGCACCAGAGTTCTATTCTCCTCTTCTGACTGATGCAAAGCAATCTGGAGTTTCGTGGTCATCTCTTTCTCCTGCGGTCCTTGATTTCCATAAGTCATTCAGAATGATCTGAGCTCAAACTGGCTGTAGAACTGAGTTCGACTTAGGTTCACACTGACTTGGGGAACTTTCGCTAATGTGGCAGTCATACCCATGGAGCCACACGTGACTACTTCATCAGTATTGTGAACGTGGATATTCATGTTCCCAGATCTATATTTCGCCCTGGTACCCGGAGATGCTTCACAATCCATGGACCCTAGAACAAAGCTAGTACGATAAGGTCTACAATAACGTGGCCCTATCGTTTTGAACGAGAAGTAGTTGTATTGCTTGCTAGACTCTTGACGATGGTTATTTGGAATATTTGTTGATAGCTAAAACTGAACTGGTAATGCATACCTTGTCCAAGGTTTGTTGTATAGCCTCAAAACGTGACGTGCCCTCTTCAGCCTTCATTTTAGAGTAGAGTGTAATTTGCACTTTTTCCTTCGCAGCTTCGGCCAGCTTATTTTGAAATTCCAAGTCCTGCATAAATTGCAGAGACTGTCAGAAGTTCATGGATCCTCAAACTCAGAGGTGAATGGCGGGACTGAAGTGATGTTCTTTGGGGATCTTACAAATGAATCTAATGAAACATGGTCGGACTTGAAAAGGATGGGCAGATGAAGTTATTCTCCATACTTGTACATGCCACTCTGCTTCCCGAGCTGCACAATCTTGAGACATCTTTTCCAGCTCAACAAAGCTCTCCAGCTGGTACATAATATGATAAAAATTCAGGAAAGTGAAGCAGAGTTGCACTGGGAGCAGTTTGTTTATCGTCCTTCCATTTATCCAAGATTGCATCTCGAGCGTACTGCTGATTCGGGGCATAAGAAGATGACGTATCAAAATGACAGCAAATTCGAAAAAGCTGGTTCAGTATCACTCCTCCACAGACATGGTATGCCAATTACCTTCAGCCGTTCAAGCTCTGCTTTGTATAGGGCCTTGGCCTCCTGCAGTTTCGACATTTGCCTTGTTCAAATGGGAATAGGTTATCATAGTAAGGGAATACACAGACTAAGTTAAACTATCGTCCAACCTTAGGGCAGCTGTCAGGCAGTTTGTACTGAACCTTATTGTGTATACACAGGGCGGAAGCTGTTTCCTGCTCAAAGGTTTCTTGTTTATGGTGCTCCTTTGTGTGAGGAGAAACTAAGAAGGTTTTACTATGGAGAGCTCTAATTCTATTGTGATCTGACACTTTTGTAAATCCCAGCAGGGAACACGAGTACAAAATGAACTACTCACCTCTAAAGCTTGTGTGTGTTTCTCGAGCTCCTTCTTGGCAATTTCCTGCAAGTGTAGGATCCTTGCTTGGAGCTCCGTCTGCCTTTTCGTCGCTTCCATTAAGTCCTTTTCTGCCTTCTCACTTTGGGCTAACATCTGGCACATCATAAGTTTAAGCACAGCTACAGCAGTGAGGATATGTTTTTCTAATATGAGTTCAAATCATTCGCACTTTTTTGTCAATCAAGGTAGTGAACATGTGCACTGCATTGATTTGCATTTAGGCGGCGTGATATAGAATTGATTTTCCTAGAGGACCTGGGACAGCACAAGTGTGGACCATGTTAAGGTCAAAGGACCAAAACATCCGCGCTCACGGGTGTTGAAAGTCCTTGGGGAAAAGAAGAGAAGGGAAGGAGAAAAACAGTTCTGGCTTGTCTTAAAGAGAGGAGTACCTCTGTTGTGTGAACTCTTTTCAAACGGTCAATTTCCTGAAGACAAAACGCAGTAGTCGGTCAAATGATGATGAAAATGTCAAGCCGTTTTAAGAAGAATGACATTTGAAGTTTTGTGAGGACCCCACTCTGGACCAAGCGACTATGGCTAAAGAATGAATGACAGTTGCCTCATGCAAGTTTCCAGGTGTGAGCTTTGATCTGCGACAATTAATTTGGAGCTTTCAACAAGGTGACCAGGTCTGAGCTCTGCTCATGTCAGAGACGACCTCTACAGAGACTTGGCAAGGCTACTCGACCCGACGGCAGTTGGAAGAAAAGGCATGTGCGTTCGTTCGTTCGTTCGTTCGTTCATTCAGTTCATCCGTTCTAGAACCTCTTTACCACTTACAAGGAGGTAAGCCTGTTTCGCGGACTCGAATTCATTCGTTTTGGTGAGTAGCTCGTTTCGTAAAAGCATGGAATCTCTGGAAAAATGCAGGACATCACCAGTCAGAGACTTACAGCAGCAGCAGCCCTAGAAACAAGACTACAACTAGCACCACAGCACTTCTATGGTTGTCATGCTCAGAGGCGATTTCAGGTGTGGGGGGTTTAGCCCCTCCTTCTCTCTCTGCTCATAATTCAGGAACTCATTCCGGTCTGGAGTTGGAGGAGGTGAGCAAAGGGAAAGATTCGGGCGTGAGCAAGGATCGAAGATTCGTTCATTCGCATTATCGGATCGAATAGCAGCAGTAGAATGCAGGGTTTGAATCCACTACATCCGAACAGTGATGTTACCAATCGCAGAGGCTAAGCTGATTGGCAAGACAGACCTGACAAATGATTCATTCTTGTCTTCCAAAGCCTTCTCAAGTTCTTTCATGTCCTTTTCCAGCTGCTCTGCTTTCTAGGAAGTCAGAGAAGAACAGGTGTCATGAGGGCGAAACTGGCCGGACAATCACATGTTTCAAGGCATGGGTCAACAGCAGACGAGATGAAACACAGATCAGCAGATTGGAGTCATTGGACGACTCTGTTTGACAAATATCGTTCCAGAACGCAGCAAACCCATCGTACGACAGTCAGTCAGGCTCATGGCGGGCATGAGTGAAACGTGCAGCTAATGAGTGCCCATAAAGTACTGTGGCAGACAAATCTCGACTCGTCCAGAAAGTCATATCCTTCATTCGATGTTCCTCTCAGGCCTCCCACCATGACCAATGCAACAGCAGCAGCAGCTCCGAAATGATGGACTTGTAAGTAGGAGAATTGACTCGGAGGTTGATGCCTACCCGATTAGCACCCTTGAGCTCAATCTCAGATGCCTCCCTCGAGACTTGGTACTGGCTTGCCATGGCCTGAATTTCAGAGATGAGCCAGTGAATGAAAGAAGACATCATGAACACGAGTCAAGGCAATGTGATTATTGTCTACACTCCGTATACGCTCGAGCATCTGCGCATCATTGTGTTCTGTAATTGTGATGCTCCTTGCGAGCACGACTGTCTCTGTTTGTGAGGACATTCATTGCGCCTGCTCTACCTCTTCATCAATTGACGGACGGTTGTGAAATGTAGATGATCCGAATCAATGCCTGCCTGCTCGCCTGCACGCACGCGCGCACTCTCTCTTTCTCTCTCTGTCTCTGTCTCTGTCTCTCTCTCTCTCTCTCTGAAATTCTGAGTTGGAAAAAGCGCCGATAAGAACCTGAATTGTTTCCTGCACGCGATTGTCTTGGATTTGAATCTCCAGGGACGTCTTGAACTGCCTGATGCGCGAGGCAGTTTCATTGAGAATTTCATGTATCTCGCTCTCATGCTGCCCGGCAATCTGCCAACAATTGACGCCATTTATGAAGATGATGATGGCGGTGCTGATGATTTCCGTGAAACCCTAACGCCAAAATCACACATTCAATGCGCCCAGGAAGATCTTGTTCCGGGCCCCGTAGCCTATTCCATTCCCTTCCCTTCCATTCATACGGCAGACGGGCGGGCTTTTACTCCTCGCCATCTCAAACTTCGTTGGCCGATTTCGCATTCATTTTAAATGACAGATTATCGTTTCGATTTTCTTCTTAGACCTTTCTTTCTCTCGTGACGAGGCTTGACACGGAACCATCGACACACAAATTCACAAATTCTCGATCCAGAAGTTAGAGTTCGACGTGATCGCCGATGCGTAAAGAACCATGCCGCTTCTAAGATTAGATCTGGCCGAGGAAATTCAAGGGCGTTTTAATTAGAGGGTAGTTGTTGTTCTCGAACGGGAAGGGAGATGGGGGCGGGGGGGTGGGCATTAACCTCGTCGTCATTTGCGTCGGGAGCCTCGGGGGGGAATGCGGAGAAATGGTGCAGAAGCTTGGTCAATTGGGCAAGCTTGGAGGCCAGTTTGTCCTCCAGTTGGTTCCAATCCTGCAGAGCCTCGCCTGCCATAGCCATGCCGGACGACGTCGGTCGTCGTCGTCGTCGTCGTCCGCTGGAAGAAGTTAGCGATTCTTGAGTGCCTGCCTCCCTTTCGGGATTTGTGTCAGATGGAGGTTTCCTCCGGCAAGTGCTGTCGCTCTCGACCTACTCGAGGTCTCAAAGTCTTCGCGTTCCGATTGACTTACGCGACGATCATGGACCTTCTTTTGGAACTGGGAAACAGGAAAGTGGAAGGAACGCGACGCTGTCGTCGACCCGAGCGAGGCACGGCTTCGGTCCCGTCAGGACGACGAAAGAGGACGAAGCCCTCGTGAGCGATGGCCTCGAGGCCGGTGGCCACTCTGTCTTCATGGATCCATGGGCGGGCTGAGCAGAGCAGAGCAAAGCAAAGCGAAGCGAAGCGAAGCACAACAGAACAGGGGACAAGACAGGAATCTTATTAGGACAAGCGACTACGAGCCTAAGTAGGATGAAGGGGGCAGGCCATAGACAGATTCGTCTCGTGCATCCTCCTCATCAGTGAGGGAGGTTCGAGTGGTGAACGTAATCAATTCAGCCTGTGCAGATTCGCAAATTAGAATGTAGCTCAACTTATCAGCGTCAGGCGAGAGTAATACGGCGAAGCCCCTATTGAAAGCGATCTGGGCCTTCAAATCTGCTCATCAATGCACCCAATCTGATGGTAGATTGCGACCAATGACGCGCAGCGCACGAGCGCATTTCCGGGCAGAGACTGAGGTAATTGTGAGGACCAACCGTAATGGACTAGCGTCCAGAACGAGGTGAGAAACTTTCACCCCTCCACAGCTACGGCCCCCGCCCCCGCCCTAGCGCAGGGTAGGGCAGGACACTGAGTCCAATCAAGGTCCGGCCGAATGGAATCACATATGTTGGTATCTCTGGAGCGCCGAGGCTAGCAGCACCCTCCAATCTGACTCCCTCCGAGGGTAAGTGCCAGCGATTTTCCGAGCAGTACCGTCGTCGTAACCCACCGAGATTCAACTGAACTGCGCTTGTCCCTCGAGGGCTGCTGCTGCTGCTGCTGCTGCTGTCTGAGTGACTGAGGCCCCGAGTATGAGCATGCGAGTAAGCGAGCGAGCGAGCGAGAGGAGCAAGCGCTTGCTTTAACCAAGAGGCAGGAATCTACGAGCCAGTTTCCCACCAGCGGAAGAAACCCAATTCCTAAAAGCCGCATGGCCACTCCATCTCCCACCCCCACCCCCACCCCCGCCTACGAGCCTAGTCCCACTATTCCACTCACCGGGACACACTCACGAAATTCCAAGCAAACGGCCAACCGCCCTTGTACACACCGCCTCAAACACCGGCCCCACTGCAATGCTGCTGCTGCTGCTGCTGCAGCAGCACCAGCACCAGCGCACAGTGGCCGCAGTGGGAGCGCCTGGCTCGCTGGGCTGCAGTTAGGATTGCGGTGGAGCCTCCTCTCTCTCTCTCTCTCTCCCTCCCTCTCTCTCACTCACTCACTCACTCACTCACTCACTCACTCTCTCTCAGTCACTCTCTCTCTTTCTCTTTCTCTGTGATTAGATCTGCCTCCCTGACTGCCTGCCATGGCAAGCCACCCCATGCCTTACGTAGCCTCCCTCTACAAGATGGGCAGAGGGGTTTCACTCATGCTGCTGCTGCTGGGCGGGCCTGGCCTGGCCTGGCCTGACCTGTCCCTACCTCAGTCACTGTGCATCTCATTCTTCTTTGCTTTCTACATCTTCTCAGTTTCAACGCATTCGGGTGATTTGGCAGAGCATAATCCTGGGGCCAATGCGATCCGTAAAGGGTGCAGACACTCGCTCGCTTCAGTCACTTGCTGTCGAGACTTTAGTCTGCGACGAGCAGCGACATTTTCCTTGAGAGAGCGGGTGGGATGGATGGATGGATGGAGCAACGGAGTTACTGGTATTATGATGATCAGTATCCGACCGCTGGCTGGAGATTTCCAGCTCGCAGGGGACCGTGGACAACCATAATTGTCACCACCAGACAGCTTTCAGATGCCAGTTCACTCGACTGCCTCATCTTTTAGTGCCCATAACATTTGAGCCCCATTAGTTGACCTGACCCTGGAGCCGTCCCCGCTCGCGACTGGGACTCGAGTCTCGCAGATCCATCCATCCATCGATCCATTTGTCCCCCACCACCAGCCCAGCCCAGCCCAGCCCAGCCCTCGTCAATCAATCAATCAGTCGATCTCATCTGCTTTATCTCATCCTTCTCCTTTTCCCCGTGGAACATGGCCATTTCAAATCTCCCTCCCCCAAGCCCCAGCCCAAGCCCGAGCAAAGCCTCATCCCATACTCCATACCCCATCCCCATCCCATCCCCTCCCCTCCCCTCCCCCTGCCCTCGCCTACTCTGCACAAGAGTAACTAAATTGAATCATTCGAAATCAGCTTTTAGCTTTTACTGACCCGATGAGTACAAGGCACTTTCCATTTCGAGTCAAAACTACTACAGCTAGAAAACATGTCCCTTTCACTTTTCGTGATTAGCAAAGGACCTGTCGAGCTTACCTTTCGCTTCTTGTTCCTGATTTCATTAGCAGCAGCGAGTGCCAGCCGCTCTGGTAACTAATCAAAGCACGTGATCCGAAAAGTAACTCCCCCGGCCTCTGCAAAGTACACTTTGCCTGCTAACACGATCGCTAACAACAGCTTTCTCTCCGGGCTTCGACCCTTGACCCCGGTCATGGTCATGGTCATGATCAGGCTCAGGATCAGGATCGGCCTCCACATGCACACCAGAGGACTTTCCCTTCTGGGACCTGCTCTTCCCCTACAGCATCTTCTTCACCTTAGCCCCCCTCCCGCTCACTGATCTGGACCTTCTGCTGCAGGCATTGGCAAATAGAATATGCGTGTGGGTGGTGTTCTGTACCGGTGCTCATGCCACCCCCCTCCTCCAGCCCAGCGGCCTGCCATAGCTGCGGAGACTGACACATCTGACGTTAAGGACTGGGCACAACCACTACAGTATTCGTGCAAGTACACTAGACTCATGTACAGCACAGTGAGGTCTACAATCAGAAGCAGCAGGAGCAGCAACTTTTGATCAGCTCTTGTGGTCAGACCAGAGCAGACAAAATCCTTCCTCGCTTAGACTTTATGACGGGTTAGCCAACAGAGTCTCGTCCCATCGAAACATGTACAGTCTGTGTCGCTCTCGCCCATGCTGCGCTGTGCTAGGCTGCTACTGTATCTATCGATCGAGCAATCGATCGAGCGATCGATCCAATCAAGCAACCAATCACTCCATGCGTTGATGCAACCCTCTGTCGAACATTCGAGGTACGCATCCATTCCTTCATCCATCCATCCCTCCCTCCATCCCTCCCTCCCTCCCTCACTCCCTCCCTCCATCCATCCATCGACCTAACTTTCGCTTCCGGTGACTAGCATAGGCTGTGGTTGTGGTTCGTGTCACATCTCTAACTAAGTGCGACAGCACAAAGTGTGGTGTAGGAACAACAGTAACTAATTATGAACTGCACGTGAAACATTTTGTTAACTACCCCTGCGCATCCGGCCTCGTCCTGCGCAGCAGTAAGTACACTTGATTTCGGCTCCAGTGGACCAGTGGCCGGATATGTGAACATGAGCCCCCCCCCCCCCCCCCCCCCCCCCCCTCTTACATCCATCCGTGCTTTTTCGTGAGCTGAGCCTGAGGCCATCTGAAACCTCCCATGCCCGTGTTGTGTGCTGTGCTGGCCATTGACATATGTTCGGCCATTGATAAATGGTTGGATCCTGGATGGTTAACTCGTGCATGAATTCCATGCCTTGGTCCCTCATTCCCAGTCTGGTCTGTCTGTTGGTATGGTGGGAGAGAGAGAGAGGGAGAGAGAGAGAAAGAGAGCATGAGAGAGAGGACGAGAGTAATAGCGCAACCATAATAACTAATTAAGCGCATGAAACAAACAAAATGCCACGACGAGAAGTACGCCACAGCAACCAAATCTTAAACAGCTTTTGGAAGCTTGACTTGACCAGAGGGGGGGGGGGGACTGGGCTGGGCAAGTCACGTGAACGCTTAAACGCCTCTTTTCGTTTCCATGCCATTCGACACATTCGAATTCCATTGGCCCAAATTCGAGAGCAGCGAGCTTCTACAGATCTGGTCTCGACCTTTTTAGTGCTACTTTAAAACACGACAGCCTCCAGATTAAATCCTGCTTTTTATACACGCGAGAGAACAGTAACTAAACAAATCCAGCTTTTAGTCTTTACTGATCGGATGATTACAAGATACTTGCCCTAAATTCTCCTCTCGCAGAACAGACTTTTTGGCATTCTTCCCAACCGTTTCCTCGTCTGCTCACAAAACATGTCGCTGCTATTACTGATAAAATTAGGTGCGTGGATCAGCACCTCGCTAATTGAATCGAGAATTGAGCTGAATCGAGAAGAGGACACCGCGAATTATAGCAAAAGCGCCGCGAACACTCCATCTGACTGCACCTTTCGGTTTCCACTGACCGTATGCGTACAAGAAAGTTTCCTTTCTCGGAATTTGGAGCCGGTTTTAGGGCGAGGAAGATCGGCGTGCAACATCTCTGTCGTGTCTCTTTGCTCCGCGGGCTTACCACGAGGTTTGTCTCAAGATAAGCACCTGGCGCGATTTAGATCGGCGGCATTAGATGCATTCGAGTGCTCCTCGTCCTGCTCCTCCTCCTGCTCCTGAGGGGTCGAGCCCGGTTTGTGCTGGACTGGACGCCCTCGGCATCTTTGACCTCTGGCCTCCATTCCTCCATTGCTCCAATTCGAATGGGTTCGTCCCCGGCCTCACCTCCAGAGGTGCCGATAACACCATGGCTCACCTTTTCGCCCAACAACATGTGAATTCGTGTCGCTCTGCTGGCCGTGGTGGCAGCCAATGGCGAGGCGATGTTCTGCCGGGCAGATGAGAACAACGACTATTTCCGCCCTCAGATCTTTTGCGCGGGCAAATCACAGACGAGGGAACCAAATCACGGACTTTTGCGCAGATTTCCGCAGTTGTCATGTGTACAAGGTCTTTATGTCCCTGGCCATAGCTTGCAAGTCTTCGAAGTTTAGTTTAGGCGACATTGTGTCTGCAGCAGCTGACGTACGATTATCGCACACTCACTCTCATAATCATAAACAAATCGGCCTTCCAAAACATCTCGATCGATCCCAGCTTCTTGCGGCACAAATAGAGGAGCAGATCGAGACTCGTGACTCGCAGGCGTTCGAGAGGCCTCCCGAGAAACTGGCGGCCATGGCCAGCCTTGAAGAAGCCTCTGCTTCGAGTTCCCCTTTTGGGACGGAGCGATTTTTAGACGTAAGCCCGAGCTGTCATTGCTTCTGTCATCTTCGTGATTAGCACCCTCCAGGACTGGCTTGCATCCCAATAACCCCGAGCTGCCATTGGAGCTTCCCTTCCAGCTCTGTCACCAGAACCCCAAGAATAGCAGAAATTCCAGCCAGTGCTGGAGCATTCACTCAGTCCTGCTGTTCTAGGATGGGAGACAAATGTCACCAGGAGCATTAATTCATTCTAGGCCCCTAACACCTCATCAATCAATCTCTGGAGTCCCAATCCATTCCTCAATCTCTATTTTGTACTCTTCTTTGCACTTGTTTCGATCACACTTACGTTTCGCTACTTCTCAGGACATCACATTGTGTTCACATTTACTTTTGATTATTCTCAATGAATCAATGAAGAACAAGGGAACTGCAGTGGACGAAATTGGTGAGCTACGGAGGAATCTGTGGACGACTTTCGAGGCTTTGGCTCTCACCTCCCTCCTTTTGCATGAAATATGGAACGAGGGCAGGGGCTGAATAGAGCGTGAGAAAGGGGAAAAATCATCAGGAGAATAAGTGGAATTTGCAAGTCCTCTTATAGAAATATGAAGAGGAGTGGACCGTAAAGGCTAAACATGATGCCCAGTGGTGAAGATGACCACAGAGATCCATTTGCTCTTTTCTTGTAACTTATGTAAGAGTCGGTTGGCATGAGATGGATGATGCAGCCTTAAACCGTCACCAGGAAAATCGGTCAAAAGAACACCACTTGATGGCAGCGTGCAACAAAACTACACTTTGCTCTCACCTTGATTCTCTGGCTTTAGCTTTAGAACCTGACAATATACAACAAAATCAGGCTTTTTATTGCGCACATATTCTTTGTTTATTAATTTATTTATATTTGGTGTTTTTTGTTATTCCCCATAAGCGAAACAGATCGAGGCAGCTGGTTGCATAACTCGGCCCTGTGCCAATGAAATCGTCCATCGCCAAACAGGCCAACTTTTGCAGATTTTCCTGCTTTTCTCTCTCTCTCTCTCTCTCTCGTGCCTTGACTTAAAATCGTATCATATTAGAGCAGACCAGTTTCAATCATGGTGGATGAGCCAAAGGAGCCCAGTCCAAAGTGCAAAAAGGCCAACTCCAAACAAACCACTGCCACCACCACTAATTTCTTTTTCTGGCCTTCTTTTCCAAACGATTGCTTGCTTGCTTGCTTGCTTTCCCCTGCGAGCCGATCGCTCGATCGAAGACATCCATCCATCCATCCATTCATTCATCTATCCATCCATCAACTTGTTGATACAGTTGGGATCTTCCTAACACACGTTAGTCTTCGGATTCCCGACAAGAAGAAAAAAGCTAACAAAACAAGGCTTTTTGGGGATCCATATCAACTTGCATCCATTCATTCATTCGGTGTCATTCCCCTCCCCTCCCCTCGAGCCTCTGATTCACCAGATTAACCCTCTGATCGTGTTGTTCGGATGCATCTTTCTTTCTATCAATCATCATCATCACCACCAATACCACCATCGGACGGATTTCTGATGATGATTATGATTCTTACTGTCGTCTCTGAGCAACAACGGCAGGGCGGTCAGGGCTCTGATCCGGCCTCGGAGAATTCCTCGCAGCCCGAAAAGTTACGCCCGTGTTTACACGGCCGGGGCAAATGGGCAGCCTGAATGTGCTTCTCCGTCGCTCCCTCGTTCTGATCTGCTCTGACTGCCCTCCTTCTCATTTGGTTCGGCACCTTGCTGTTAATTCGATCATTCATTACTCCACAGCTCGACTTTGCTTTCCTGCTATGCTCTACTTTCCAATTCCGTGGGATGGGATGGGATGGGATGGGACCTTCTTGTCTCTCTCCTTCTCTCTCTCCACCCTCCTCCAGTTGTACCACTTTTACCAGACAGATTGGCGAACCACACCTGACCCAAATCAGAGATTTGATTTCTGATCATTCAATGCCCCTCGTCTCATGCGGTGGGCGGGCGGGCTGGCTGGCGGGCGAGGCCATTCATCTATCTGCCCAAGGGTTCGTGGATCCTCCTCCGTCGGGTTGTCTTCTCCAGAGCAGAATCATTGGATCAGAAAAATCTGTTCAACGAGAGAGAGAGAGAGCGAGCGAGAATGCTCTCGATGGCCTCGACCGTTAGAGAGCTCATGGCGAAAATATCCATCTCCAGGAGGAAAGGATTATTGAGGTACCGTGGATGTTAAATTCGCATCCAATGATTCCTTCCTCTTCAATCGAATGTCATAATTCCGTCGACCATGCCCAGCTCTGCCGGGACCTCCATCGATCGAGCTCGGTTCTGTCGCTGCTGCCATCGTCTGGTGGGAGATGAACTTGGCTCCATGGGTCTTCTTCTTCGACTCGAGAGACTCGAGTGATGTTCGATCATTAACCACGTTTTGTAAGAGGAATCATGCGTTCAATATTGGCCTCGTTTTCCATCGCTGCGCTCTGTCCAGGGGGCAGACACGACATGAATCAGATTGCCATGGAATTATGCTACTCTAGACCTCGAGCCAATAATATAACTGCGTCAGATTTTGTTATATCGCAGTTTTCATGAGAAGATTCTAAAACGCCTTTTGGATCGAAGCTCAATACACTTTTCCCCATTTTATCCACAATAATTACGCATATTTTAAGATATTGTGGGATTATGATGGCGCCTTTTCACGTTGTTGGGCACGAGGATTTCTTCTTCTCTCTAGAATGATGGAATTTTTGCCGAGTGTCAGTCATAAACGTGCGCTACATCTGCACCTCTCCAAAATGTCAGTGATGGCAAATCTGGTATCATTGGTATCTATCGGCTACATCATAATCTACCACTACGACCTTCATTGTGGTGTCACTCAAGGCAGCCAATTAAGCGTCGTTCATCTCTCAGGGTTTGTCGATGTGCCACAAAATATGGCCGCCATGTTTGTATTTAATCCGCTCACTACAAACCCAAGAATTCTAACAAAATACATTCACAATATAATAACCCATTTGGAAACATCATCAACACCTTAGTCTTCATAGGTGGTGTCCAAGGTATGATACAATGATCATTATGATCATCCGTATGAAAGTCGCCAGAGCTTTGATCATCTTCCTTGGTGTCAAAAAAATCAAAATGATCAGTTCCTCGAGGACACATACTCATGCAACGTGCTGTCTACGAATTCTGACTTTGGGAAAAAATTTACAAGATTCTCAAATTTACAAAACGTGGGTACTTCAGAGCTCAGCTGGCATATATCTCCTGCTATTAAATTCTGTTCAATGTATATAAACACTATTATTTGACGGCATGATTCACATAGAAAATAATCCAAATTATATTGGTATTTTTTTTCCAAATAAAATATTATAGCCTAACTATCAAATATGAATGTTAAGTTCCATTTGAATACAATTTGATGTATTTGACTCCTAAATCTGATCCAGTGACTACAAACAAAATCTCAGCTGATATTGATTCCCTTTTCTTTCGGAATAATATAAAAAGTGTTCTAAGTAAAAAATATGAGTAACGAGTTTATGAATAAGGAAAGAAATTATTGATAGAATGATTGAAATATAACACTACTAAGAGTAATATTTAAGAAATGAGTAGAAACTATTTTGGAATGAATGAAGAAGCTAAAGATATATATAATGGAAAAATTCTATCCTCATCACTTTAAAATTCCCAAAAATAAGAAAACATGACTGATACTTCAGATTTCAATCCGTCAAATATCAAAGTAAGAAAGTCATCATTATTTGACGTAATTATTTATGCCAATTTCGAGTTATGGTACAAAATAGAGCAGAAAATTTTTAACTTATTAATTATGCTATGAGGATTTACTACGGTTTATTCTAAGAACTTAGTTTTTCATTCGAAATATTTTGAAAGTATAAACATTTTCCTTGCAAGATTGATTTTTTGTTAGGAGATTCTAAATTTACGAATGAAGAATTTATTATTTTAAAAATTATTATGAAACATTAAAATACAAAAACATTGTTAGTTCATTAGTAAATTTGATTATGTGATAATAATATTTTTCATATATCAAATTAATTAAAAATTTCTGTTGCTATTTACATATATTTTTAGTTGACTTAAATTACATATTTAAAATTTAGTGAATTTAAATACTTTTCAGCTTTTATTTACTAAAAGATTAGAAATACAGTGAGTCCAAGTTTTATGAAGTTTTGCAATCTTGCAAACTAAAATGTCTTTAATTACACTTATCAATAGTTTCACACTAAATATATCAATTTAGTCATAAACATGAAATAACGAAATGTTTTGTTCTTTTGTATCATGCATAATTAAATAATATCTGCAAGAGCTGATGATTTCTGATTCTCAAATACAAATGTGAGTTATTAACGTTAGTTTCACATCTTTTTTTATTTAGGGTTTCACATGAATTTATGATTGTTGCTTTAAGGAAATAATAAAGTATCGCATGTGATCACTTCAGAAAATTGACCAACCTATAATCACGAAGGTTATATGTCATTCATTCTGACTTTTTAGTTCTGTGCTTTATCTTAAAGAACAATGTAATTTTCAATTTGATAAATAACATGACTAAAGTAGTTCCATTTTAGTTGACATGAACTTGTTAATTTTTCTAAATTTGTAAGAGTTTGTTTTCTATTTTTTTAGAAAAATTTGTTAATTTTTCTAAAAAAGTTCTCATTATGATAGTATTATCTAGTAAGGAGGATTATAATGGAAGGTCACACAAGAAAACCAACGTTAAATTCTATGGATTCTTTCTCATGATGAGGTGAAATATTCACATGATGAAATTTTGTACAAGATTTTCTTTTTGGGAATTATATCTTGATTTTATAGCTGAAATATAAGGATCGGAAAGTTGAGGAAAAAGTTGTTGATACTTTTCATGAGGAGAAGTTCATCTCAAAGAAGATGCAAAGGATCACAGAATTGAAATACTGAAGCAATTATTTCTTTTTTGATTTCGAGAAAGAATCGCCGAGGATCAACAAATCCACGGGAGAAAACCATGTGCCTTTGCGCAGGAGAAAAGAGCTGATGACTAGAGCCACGTTTGAAATGGCCTGCCTCCCTCCCCTCGCCTCCATTCAGCTGTCGTGAACAAGTCGTTCCCATGGAGCTGCTGCAAGGTCCTATGAAGTATGTGCAAGTTGAGACGGCTCGATCCTCGACGCACTTTTGTGCCATCGTGCCAAAATGCACTAATCGCTTTCCATGGAGAAAAGGATGGGAGATCGATGGAGATCGATGGAG